AATGGAAATAGTCCGAAAGACACCTCTATGATTAAAAAGAATAAAGAATTGGAGCTGATGAAGATCAGTTAAGGATGAGGATGAAAACCACAACATCCTATGAAAACGTTCCTTAGAATCATAGAATCACTTAGGTTGGAAAAGTCCAACTGTTAACCTAGCACTGCCAAGTCCACCGCCAAACCATGTCCCTAAGCACCACATCTACGCACCACATCTACATGGCTTTTAAATAGCTCCAGGGATGGGGATTCAACCACTTCCCTGGGCAGCCTGGTCCAATGCTTGACAAACCTTGCGGTGAAGAAATTTTTCCTAATATCCAATCTAAACCTCCCCTAGTGCAACTTGAGGCAGTTTCTTCTTGTCCTATCCTTCCTACCCTCCAGCAGATCAACACTCCTGCCCAACTTGGTGTCATCTGCAAACTTACTGAGGGTGCACTTGATCCCCTCATCCAGATCATTGATAAAGGCATTAAACAGAACTGGCCTCAATACTGAGCCCTAGGGAACACCACTTGTGACCAGCTGCCACCTGGATTTCACTCCATTCACCACCACTCTTTGGGCCCAGCCATCCAGACACTTTTTTACCCAGCAAAGAGTACAACCATCCAAGCCATGAGCAGCCAGTGTCTCCAGGAGAATGCTGTGGGAAACGGTGTCAAAGGCTTTACTAAAGTGCAGGTAGACAACATCCACAGCCTTTCCCTCATCCACTAAGCAGGTCACCTTGTCATAGAAGGAGATCAGGTTAGTCAAGCAGGACCTGCCTTTCATAAACCCATGCTGACTGAGCCTGATCCCCTGGTTGTCCTGTACGTGCTGTGTGATGGCAGTCAAGATGATCTGCTCCATAACCTTCCCTGAACCTTAATGTCTTTAAGTCAAGCAATTAATTTCTCAGGAATTAACTTCTTGAATCTGAACTGCTTTATGATAGAAACAACAGCAAATGAAAAGAGAGTTGACAAAACTGTGAAGAGAAATGACAGGAAACAGGACTTTCAGAACAGTTGCTGAATGAGGTAGAATATAGCATATGAAAGAGATGCGGGTATTAAAGCGATTTCAGGTGCAATTAAAATCGCTTCTAAGAACAGAGTGAGGAAGAAATTTTAAAGAAGTTGTGCATCTTGCTTTGCGTTACAATGCAAAATTTTGCCAATAGCATGAAGGAAAAACAGAGCAAGCCTTTTAAAACAAACTAGTTTACATAAGAGGAAAAGCTTAATACACAAGAAGAAAGTACTTATGCTGTGTTCCTTCTTTTCTGATAACAAAGTTGGTAAGTTGCTTAGACTCACTTTAAGTGTCAAACCACTGCACCCATGAAACTGCCCACTATTCCTCCAGATGGTTGCTTTTAACAATATCACTGTCTCATTTACTTTTCAGTGTTCCATTAGTTCTGCAGTCAAGCACTGCTCATTTGGCAGATAAAGATCAAAATGTCATTTTGAAACGGCAGAATTTGTGAATTTATGCATGAACAGTGTCCAGCTTTTATCCACCCAGTTTCTTCCTGTGTCTTTCCAATGAGAAAAGTTTTAATTTACTGTCAAGACAGCTGCAATTATGAATGTTTTATTATTACTACTCTGACCAGGATTAATGTTCTGGGAAAAAATATCCAAACAGAACTCTAAGTATTTGTAATGGTCTCTTAAAATTCCACTACCTTCTGTGGAAAACAAAACACTAGACTTCAGATACAGTAACATAAATGTTAAACTATTTGATTTTGCATCATGGTGAGATTATTAATTAGAAAAAAACTTATCCATTCTTTCATGCAGCAAAATTCCTATACACTGCAATGTCTTTCCAATGTTCCTACCTTCCACAATGAACAGAGAGAAGCACTATACTATAATATCCCTTCCTTCTATTTTCCTGTGTCCCAAAATCACTCTATTTTGCTTCCTTTCCACTAACTGTGGAACTCTACAGAGTAAAGCGAGCAGAAATTGTTTATAACCATGGACTCCAAAGTGGAGTGCATGCAGCCCAGGAGGTGCACAAGACAATCCACTGGAGGGCAGGAAGAAAACAGTAGATTATTTTTTTAATTTATTAATAAATTATTAATGGCTTTAATTTAGTTAATAAAATAATATTTTAAGTAGTGTTTATTTCATCTTTATCTTATCCTTTTTTAAATTTCTATTGTGCATATTTTATAGTTTGCATACCATATTACAGTAGTATGTGTCTATAATTTATAAATAAGTATACCTATATTGGGGGTGCGTGGTCAAAAAAAATATTGCTGATAGGGGTGCACAAATATTGCTGATAGGGGTTTATGTGACTTCAGCACCAGGAAACTGAAGTAGCATTTCCTTCTTTGCTAGGAGGAGATAAAAATAATGGAGGAAGAACTGCACACAGGGAAAAGTTTTCAAGCGGGCTGCATTTTTCAGTTACTTAGCTGCAAGTTTAATCACAGGCAGTGAGTGATTTTTCAGAAACATTTAAGTGCTTAGCTCGCACTATGTCTAGTAGTTGAGCAACCCTTGAAAATTCCATGAGATTCTGATTGGTATCTAGAGGCTGCCAAAGGCCATTCAAAATCTTATTCTGGATGATTTAGGTTCAGGTCCATTGACTTTCAAAGAGATTTAAAATTCTAAATACATAAAATTCAGTTTCAGCAATAACTTAATGCCACTCCATCACTTGGCCAGTTTTCTAACGCAGATGTAAAAGGTCAGCCTATTTTTATTTAAATTCCTTTCAAACATTCACAAAAAAAATAACCCTGCTAGTCACTCGACATACTTTTTTTTTTCTTCATTAAAATCACCTGCTAAAATATTCACTTAATTTCTGTAATGGCCATGGATAAGTATCAACTAAGCGAAACATTAAAGTTACTAAAACTTTGAGGAAGTTTTACTTAGTGGGTATGCATTATTAAGAAATAGTGAAGCAAGGCAAATCATGTTGACAAGACCCTGTTTTTCAGAAATTAGTTTATCCTGACTAACATCTGTCTTCTACCATTTCCATTCCAGTGAGAACAACACTAAGCACTTTATTCAAAAATTATATATTTTGAAATAAATTCCTTTACTCCACCTGAAAAGTTTCCAAGCAGCACGTAGCATTGATTACCACTCTGAAATTTTCAATATAGCATCCTCTAAAAACCAGAGTTCAATCATTTCTTTTAAATAGCTAAGAGAGCAGCTAGAGTAACACAGGTTTTTTTATATGACATTTCTCTCACGTACTCTGATGTCAAACCATGAATGCTATGAAACAGAACACTTAACCAATTTGTTTTTCTACTCATGCATCACATCCCTCCAAATTCCAGCACCAAGAGTTCACAGTACATGGTAATTAAAATAGACACTTTTCTCACAGAGCAAGGGACATTACTTTGTGACTGTTTCAGGATTTACAGCACCAATTTAATAGAACACTTAAGCACATGCTGACCTTTGGGCATGTGAGAACTCCATTTAAATAAAACTACGCATGCTGAAAGCTAAGCACTCCTTGAACCAGTACCAATAATTACAGAACCCAGTAAATATCACTAACAGATCTGTGGCCCCTTCTGCAGTTTTCCTAACAAACAGGTTGTATCCTGACAGACCAACAGGCTCTTCAATCTCCAGTGTGACTCTAGGAAAAATGCTTTCATCTGCTCTTTATTTCCTCATCTGGCAGTTTACAAAGGGCAAAAGCAGAAATGCATGTATGCTACCCCTGCTAATATAACTCCAGCTGTTCTGTTTGTTCTGTTTGTCCACACAGTGTGGAACAGGAGAAGCAAATAGCACAGACTGTTCACACATGAACACCACAAAATAGTTTCAGATGTCTGTCTGACCTTTCTCTCTCATCTACCTTTCTCTCCTGCCTTTGCATTTCACAACAGAGCAACAATATAAATGCATTCAAGTGACCTTCATCAGATCAACCATCCTTTTACACATGAATGTCATTACTACATAACCTTCCTCTTATCTAGGAAAGAATTTAACCCTACAGCCCTCCGCATGTGGCAAGCTTTCACACTGTCCTTACTGGAAAGGTTCCCAGGAAGGTGCAACCTCAACACAAAATATTCTTTCATTTCATCTCCAGGGGATGGTCTTCAAGTCTAATGATGTCTCTTTTTACCGATCTTTTCTGAATATTTTCCGGGTTTGACCACAAACACACACACATACAAGCCAGCTTATTTTAGTTTATTGACTTTCTTCTGAACACATGAATTTATTTGTCCTTAAAACACTTTTAGTAGAGCAGCACGAAAAGCTAGGCTCACTCTTGAAGTATGAAAAGGTTAGTACAGTTGTGCAAAGGCATGTAATTTATTTCACTTACTGCAATGAGACCATGTCTTCTCAAATGGGATGGCAGAAGCAGAGGGTTCTCGGCTCTGCCTGTTTTTAAGATCCTCAGCTAACACTCAGGTAACCTGGGAACGGTACATATCTATGCCCCCGTGCCTTTCAGACAGACACTTGCTCAGGATTATCTTCTCCCCTCCCTAATTCCTGTGCCCTGAATGAAGAGTTTTGCCCAAATCTTCCTGCCAAACATAGTCACGTATTTTGGAAGCTGCAGCCGTATTTTCCTGCCTCTCTATTTTCTGAAGCAAGTTTTCCACCAAATTCTTTTCTCTCCAAAGAAGATGTCATAACTCACCCAGCAGAATCATCTTTAGAAGCTCATATATATCCCGGTATACCGGTAACCTGATGATGCAGAGAGGCTGCCTCCCTCTAGTGCGTACACGCAGGTGCTACTGCATTTATGAAGATGCTAGGCCCTCCAATCTATAAGCACAATAATACTTCAGGGAGAGAAGCCAAAGGATGTCTGTCCTTATCATTTTCAAGACATAACCACTGCTCAGGTGAAACTGCAAAACTCTGCATCCAACCAGTATCAGTGAGAAAGAACACTGTTTGCATGCAATAAAGACAATTTACTGTTTTGGTGTCCTCTGTTGCTGCTTTTTAGATATCCTACCTGTTTGTGCCACCAAGTGGGTCCAGCCACACCAAACTGCTCCAATCTTGTCATGTGAGAAAAACTGAGTCTCAATCTTCTTGGGCTCAACAAGAAAGATCTCCTTGCTCACTAGCTGCCCATGTTTGTTGCTACCCCAGACATACAGGTGTCCTTCACCTACAATAGACAGACAAGTAAAATTTGTTGAAAGCGATATACATAGAACACCACCAGATAACAGGCTCTGTCTCAACTCAGTGATGCTGAGGCAGGAACAATGTTTCACTCAATTCGTGTTTTCACTGTATGCTTTTTCCTACCACTCTTTACCACATGTGCACACACTGTAACTAGGATATCAGAAATATTTGCAAGGGCCTTAACAACATACCCTGTTTTCTGAGGACTACACCAACTCCCTGAAGCAACCAGAGCTTTCAGGTCAAACTGCCTAGTCCTCATTTCTACCATGAACCTCTCAAAGACGACTGAAAGATGTTTACAGCAGAGGCCAAGTTTTATTAGAAAATTAACCACAGTAGTCAACTTCCTGGAGGCAGGGTGGGGGTGGAATCAAAGCATCCTGGGGACACTCAATGAGCAGTCTCTCTCAGTCTACTCTGTTCTTGCAGGTCAGCTTTTACCTCCAGCCCAAAGCTTTCATTCAGTCCAGTAAATAACTTTCTGAACTGAAGCAAATAATTTAATTCCCCTCCAGTATCTGGGACTCTTCAAAGCCTGGCTGGCTGCTCCTGTTCTGCATTACAGTCTCCCAGCCTCTTCACAAGAGCTACAGACTCCTAGCTCTGCTCATAATTCTCCTGCCGTCTTCAGCTTGAGCAAATTCAGTAAATCCCCCCAAGCACGGAAAGTCTAATGCTCTTTGCCTCACCTGCTCAGTCACTTCCTAAAGGAATGTGACACGTAGCTCTGAACATACAACTAAAGCAGGTACCACCCATTGCAAGATGAAATTAAAATATTACCATGCCTCAAAACAATGTTAGACAACTAGTGAGAGACTTCTGTAAGTAATTACTTGTCTTCCCCCACCCCTTTTCTAGAATGAGCATTTCTGCAAGTGCACACTCCAGGATTCCACCCACAGGGATAATTATATTTACAGAAACATCCACATTGCTTCATATGTTTCATTGGTGCGAGTTGGAGTTGCTCACAGCCTAACAACCTATTGACAATAACACGACGACTGTTCAGATGAGTCCTTCTCCAGATATTACATAGCATTAGTTCAATCTTTTCAGCACAAAAATCATTCTGCCCAGGTTCTAGGCCTCCACGTTAAAAAAATATAATCTGCAAGAAACACTTAACAGAACACGAGCTGTGTCAGGCGTCCCGAAGTCCTTTGCCACCCAGTACAAGCTGCAAGCATACGAAATAAATGTTGCACACATGAAGTACATGATCATATGCTCAGAAAGACTGGAAGCCATATCATTTGCAACGTGGAATTGTTCAGAGCACATGTCCACAACACTCAAGGCTTCTGCAAGTCTCAGGCCAGCACTGAACTCTTTACAAGCAGCATGACAGAAGTAAATCTTTCCGGGGGTGGGGAAGTAGAACTTAGGCTACAATATATTTAATGATTTTAATCTGGTAACATTAACAGAAAGAATAAGCCAGGAGAACTCCACTATAGTACTGCTGGTGAAAAACAAGGGAGAAGGGGGTGGGGAGGGGGGGAAATAGCCAGTACTGGCCAAGCTACACATTATTGACAGTCATCTGCAGGACTTCCCACATTCCTCAATAAAACAACACAATTGAAATGAAAAGGAAAAACAAATCAAGCAATTGTTTCATTCAAATTCTCCACTAAAATCAATAAATTCCTTCCCAGAGTGAAGTACATATACCTGCCAGAGAGGAAAAAAAAAAAAAAAAAAAAAAAAAAAAAAAAAAGGGGGGGGAAATAAATCCCCCCCAAGGGAAAAAAAAAAAACCCCCCAAAAGGAAAAAAAAAAAAAAAAAAAAAAAAAAAAAAAAAAGAGGTGATGGAAACAGCGTATTTCAACAAAGAAAAACATTATGGCCATTCATGTTTTCACAGCTAACATGCACTGCTGCTGTCACCTCCTTTTTTCCTCCAGAAGGTGCATTTCCTTTATCCTGGGAAATGTCACATGCTCAACCCTCATCTCATTTCTTGAGTAGGTTTTAACAAAAACTTAGACACTAAAACTTCGCACCATATTCCTATCACTGGAGGTTTCAGGCCCATTTGGATACAAGTAGACTACGATCCTTTTTTTAAAGGCACGCCATTCATGTCTGCAACAACTCTGCCTGTGTCAAAAACCTGGCTGATTGCAGGTGTTTTGTATCCTACCAGCAGGTGGCTCATGAAGCAAAGCCAAAGAAAATTGCATCACAATGTGAGATTCCTAGAAAAAAATCCCCATTTAAATACTACACCCTGCAGTAGTATCTTTACTATACCAAGTATCTTTAAAATACCAAGTATTTTATGTAATAACAAGTATCTTGCAGGATGAAGGGCAGCAATAGCATCACATTATTGAAATCTTGGGCACTTTGTTAATCTTGGTCCCCCTGCTGCCAGATAGACTGCTCTCTTAATTAAAAAGCAAAAGCATGAAAGAATAATCTGTTCAACTCTCTAAATAGAGTGCTAATTAGCTAAAGTAGATTCTATTTGTCCTTACAGCTTTTCTTCACTAATCGCACATACACTTTGCATCTCAGAATTCAATATAATCTACATCTTGTAACATCTTGCCATACAACTAAATCTCCGTAGACCTGCATAAGCAAATACTCCAGTGCTCCATTCAATGATGACCGAGGTACCAGATGGCTGCATATTTGCTAAGAACTTGTTCCTATGAAGTTCAGCAAAGACTTGTCTTCCTAAGGTTCAATGTATTTTCCACACTTCAAAACTGTAAGATTACAGCATGAAAAGCTATTCTGTTTCCCCTTCTCCTGTCTGGAAAAAAAAAAAAAAAAAAAAAACCAAACAACCAACCACAAAATCTTTATTAGACTTTTATTACTGGATACTTAATACCCCAGCATGGGAGCACTGCCTAAAGATCAAAGAACAAATGGCAGACATTATGGAAGTGCCTAAGCAATTAAAGCAACTTCCTACTGCTTTAAATAAGCCTTGTGCTCTTACATTACCTCACACAGATCTACACGCTGTTATATTAGAGCCACCTAAGATAGCTCCAGACCACCTCACGTCCCTGCGCAACACAGCCCCACGCAAAGGCATTAGCTCATGTAGCAGAAGCAGGATAGCCACAGCAGTCTTTCTTGGGACAACCACCTAACATACCCTTTCTGCACAGACAAAGGGTTGCACTGGTTCCAGCACTCACCCATCCGGAGTTACCCAATGCAGCATCATGCTGCAGCTCCAGAGATTTACCCAACCATGTGCTTCCACAAATACTTTCAGAGTTTCTAACCGTTAAGAGCCCAGACCCTTACTTACTCATATGGGCTAAGTCACACCTGACCCTAAGAAAAAACACACAGAAGTCAGAGAATTCAAAACATGAATCCAGCTCTTAAAAAACAAAATTTCTCAGAATCCAAAACTACTACAAAACAATTAACCAGCATTAAGAAGGCCAGATCAAATTTTACTAGTCTAGCCAAAGTTGGCAAACATTTCCAAAGCACAAAAACCTTTATAGGCCAAAACCAGGACTTCCAGGTCTATACCTAAGGCCTACCTGTAAGCGACACCGAATGATAGGAGCTTGCAGCAACCCTCTTCACCCTTACATCTTCCAGGCCTAGAGAAAAGTTAGTCTCATGAAATTTGTACAGCAGACATCATTTCATGCATAGACATAAAACAGAGCCGTATCAAGTGTAACAGGATGACAATGAATTTTATAACAAAAGCCTCTGCTTTTGGGCTATAGACGTTGCAAGACTCGCTGTCGTCTTCCCCCATAGATTGAACACCCATTCTATCCTTCAGATGCTCCACTACATGTTTATAATACCAAGTGGCTTTACACATGCTACATGTCACTCCAAATTATATTTCTGCTCTATCAACCTTTACAAAGGAATCAGATTCCTGGATTACCTGTTACTTCACAGGGCTCCTTTGCTGTCAAGAACAGGGGGAGGGTTTTTCCTTGGTTTGCACGCTTTGCCCGAGACACCATGCCAGTTCCCCACTGAAACACCAAACCACTCTCTTTCCAGAGTAAACACAGACAGAAGAGATTAAGACACATCAACCACCAACTAAATCACTTAACTCATTAATTAGTTTTAAAGGTACATTCACTCTATTTTTACTGATTCAAATTACATTTTAAAAGAAATTTATGCCAAAAACATACTTCATAAACATATGGATAACCCTGGTGAAGTCATCAAGCAACAAACAGTTGTAGTCTCATTTATACAGGTGAGAAAACTAAGAAGATACTAAGCAACCTGCCTCAGCTCTCCGAGGCCTATATCAGGACATTATTGAGGACTCAGTAACAGAAGTCCCACAGCTGTAGCACCTCAGGAACGGACACAATTTATTAGTATAAGTTCATTGCACTTTCTCTGCCCTTTCCTTCTTTTTATGCTAATTTGTCTCTGCAGTCCAGCACACCGAGGGAGTAAAGTCACTTGTCTTCTCCTCAGGACCCTTCAGAGATTTGACGTAGGCCTGAATCAAGATGTCCCCTGAGCGCAAAGCTCAGGGAAGCTTAATTCCCCGTATTCATACGGGCACCAGAGACCCCCTCTTCTTCCAAGCATTTCCTCTGCCTCTTCAGCTAGACTCCACTGCCTGGAACCCATACTAAAGCTCACGTAAAATTAAACCAAAATAAAAGAGCACATGTAGTTTGTTGTTCCTCAATTGCAAAAAAAAAAAAAAAAAAAAAATAGAAGCTAAAGTAAATTTAATCTTCTTCCTCCCCTCTCCCCCTCCAAACCATTAAAACTCCATTTCATTTGTTCCTGAAATGATACAAGAATGATGACATATTTACCTGTAGCAGCAAGGGCATGTCTCAGTCCTGCAGCAACATCCACCACCTTCTCTTTGAGAGACTACTCAAGAAAAAGAAAAATGTATTTTAGTTGCTCCTTGCATTTAGTGCCTCTAAAAGCAAAATATGCTAAACACAGAAGTGGAACGCTATGAAAAGAGTTCTTGCAATTCCAGCATGCATGTCACAATGCATATCAGCATTTTGTATCACAAAGGAAGTAAATTTTGGCCAACAAAAATTAGTGGGAACATCTTCAAAAAAAAAATCAAGCAAAGCAACTGGATGTACAGCTTTGTGGCAATAAATAAAAAGCCACAGTCAATATCCTCACATGAAAAAAAGGAACCTTCTTGGTGATACAGATATGTTTCTTAATTTTAACTCAGTGTTCCTGAAGAATTACGCCAAAACCTCCGCAGCAAATACCAGTGACAAGCAGTAATAAGTTCCATCGAGCTGTTCCGTCTTACCAAGTCCTCTGATCACAAACAATAGAGTTGACAGTACCACCTGCACCACTGAAGGTTGCCCAATATGATCATGCAAAAGAAGACTATACCAAGTCACATGTGCATAAAATGAGTGACTTAAGTTTGCACAAGGTACTTCAACTCTGGCAATTCTCCACTTCTGAGTACCCTGCAAGTTTATTATTCTTCTCGCAGATGTAACACTATTTAAAATAGGTGGCATCAAGCCCAAGCATTTAACAGGATACAAACCAAAAGAGAAAATATTCCAGATAAATGAATGATCCACGTGGTCAGGGAGGACACAGATTCAGATTAGCACTGTCAATACTATCATTTTCAAGGCACCATACTGGAATGATGCCCCCAGGAAACGTCAAGGATACAGAAACATCAGGTGAGTTAACCCCTGTTCACTAGGGGTTACCTAGGGGATCAGCCGTCCTTCCTTTCCTGCATTAAAAAAAGCAAAGGAGTACCTGGCACAAGCCACAAAGTGAAATTTCTTGTCTGCGAATCCTTTCTGCTCCTAAGTTATTGCTTTCATTAGACATGAGAGAACATGTGGATGGAAAAGAGTTTCATTAGTGTTCTCCAAATAAGAGACTACAGTGTAAATTAGGGATTAATCAGAATTTCTGTGAGAAGTTTATTTAAACTGTTAGGCTTATAGCCAACAATAGGACAGCTGCTCCAATGTTACAGAAGTCTCAGTACCTACTACTTAAAACATTTCAAAGCAATTAATTTCGGGCTACATTCCAAGCTCCCTACTCACACTCAGCAGTGCCTCACCTACAAATATCACCATAGACTTACACATGACCTACAGGAACAACATGAGCTATGCTGTCGAAGTCCAGCGTTTAGCATTTACAGTTGAAGATACTCCACAACAGAGAAATTGTTATCTAATTTTCCATCCTATTTCCTTGGAAGTTGATGCTGTTTGGTAAATACTGGAGGTTAGATAACAAGCGAGTCAATGTACTTGTCAGTTCCTTTACATGCAAAAGTAAAAATCATTTTCATCTCAAAAGTGATAAAATTAAAGTTTATTCTCTCAGGTCTAGTTTTCCTGCAGCTACATACTTTCTCACCTTTCTATTATTTTGGGGAGTGACAAAGCTTATTCTTATCTAACTGTTTTTACAGCCAAGAAATGATACTAACAGCCCTCATTTGGGGGGAAGAAACTCTGACAGTTATAAATACACTCAAAAAAAACATGTACTTAAAAAACAGAACTGCTGCACAAGAAGCACAAGAGCAATAGATCAAAAGAACTAACATAGCTAACTTCATTGAACTCCATCATGCAGTTTGTTTTTTTCAGGAGTGGATTATTCTTGACTCATTTTGTTTTGCTTTGAGCTGCTAAGCAAAAGCCTCCAACAAAGTACAGTGAAGACACATACCATTCATGTAGCAAAACATATCTAGTGTCTTGCAACCTTAAGGCAAAACTTCAGCTGGAGTAAATTTGCACAGTTTCACTACCTTTACTATCACTTCACATCATCCGAGCATCAGACTCATTCTGCAGACGTTATCAAAATACATTACGAAATGTTATAATCCCCAGTGAAAGAGATAGCTTTCTTTTAGAAGTGGGCAATTCCTTTGTACAACAAGAAAAGCAGCCTCAGATTCTCATTTCTGGGTCAACAACCATCTTTGGTTCTTTACTTCGCAAGTTTACTGTAACAGATAGACTCTATAAAAAGTAGTTCAAGAGTCTGGCTCGAAGCCCACTAAGGTCAGACAACCTTTGTAAGATGCTGGAAGCAATATAAAGTACAGAACCCTGAAGCACAATTCCTTTTAAATCTTTACCTCAATCTTTTGTGGAATCAAGCACGGACTTGATATTTGAGGAACTCCTAATTGTCCAAAAGAGTTAGATCCACAGGACAGAACTAGGCCAGATCCTGCAAAATGAAGTGTTAGAGCCCGATCAGTAAACAGTGAGCAAAAGCAAAGCACTGTAACATTCTAACAAGCAAAATATCACAGCCAAGTAGCTCAAAAAAGGACCTAACATGTCCCATTCCAAAGTCCCTGAGGCCACAGGCTTCTGGTCTTACACATCATGTTCAGTAAACATCTGAAGTTCACTGGGATACAAGGAACATGAAGTAATTTAGTTTGCAAGGCAAGTAGCTTAAAACCTGTGAGTGCCCGTGCATCACACAATAGCAATGTGGAACTTTCAGCGTATTCTCTACATCAACATATTTCTCCAGCTCTTACAGAGGCAGATTTACCTACTAATATGATTGTAAAATCCCAGCCACAGGCAACTTGTTTTACACAAAAGCCGGACAGGGCAGTGCACAAAGTAAAATGCAGTACATCCTCTGTGTGATTCAGTCCCAACTGCCCATCTTTGTTATGGCCACACACAAAGAGTTCTCCCGCACCTGGAAGAAAAAACAAATCAAAACAAAAAAGTCACGTTCCACTTCACAGACTAAAAAGACAAGTGTACGCTATACAAGATCCTGTGACAAATAACAACACTGATTACGTGTCATTTTAGGCACTGCAATCAAGCAAAAAGAAAGCAAAAAAAGTTACTTCTGATGCATCAGAAACACCTCTGAATAAGCATAGTTATGGAGAGTTGGGTTTGTCAAGAGAGACAATCCGTATGGTAAGACAGGCACCTCTCACTAATATCCATGATGAAGTTTTTCGTCCCATTCACACCTGTCTGTATCCCTTTTTTCCCATAATTAGCTACGGCATACAGCAGAACCTTTCAAAGACCAAATGTTATCATCTGCTCCTTACCTTAAAACTTCTCAAGACTGAATAATCTCCCACTTGATTCCTCCCTCCCACCCCCCATCCTCTATACAGAAAAACTGGCTGCTTTGTATGAAAAGCTGTTATATGAAACAGGTTAAGAAACAGTCCTCACATAGCCATAAAGTAACCATAGAAGATAAGCAAAACAGGAATTTCCCCAATTTCCCCAAAATATTGAGTGAACTGGCATAGGAGAAACCCGTTTTGCCACCAAGAACCGGTACTTGCTCAGAAACAGAAGCCACAGATAGGTGGCAGCACCAAACCAATAGGGAAACAAAAAAAAAAAAATGTGTTTAGAAGTCATACACTCCTTGAAGTGCAATGTTTTTACCAGTGATAACTGCAGAATGTCCCCCTCCTCCAGTAATGCTTTTAATGTCTTGACATTTGCAGGAAACATCTTTTAGTGACTGAGGTACCAGCACATCCTCTTTATGACCAAGACCAAGTTGTCCGTAGCTGTTTGCACCCTTCAAATACACACAGAAAAATAACACATTTTTTTTAAAGTTAACAAAAAGAGATACACATCTGCTCCTAAGAGCGAACAAGCTTATCAGAGATATGTCACAGGTTAACCTGCTAGTATTTGCTCCTGAAAATCCCCCAAAATGGCAATCTTCATTCTTATTGCTGTCACACAGGACCCCCAGAATTACAGACCAGGACTGTCCTAAATTTGCTGTCATTAAGGCTGCCCTTGCAGCTCCAGTATTTCAAGAAACATCCTGGAATATATCCTGGTAAGACTTTAACTGCAGGCTAACAGTTACTAAGGAGGAAAGCCTCATTATCAGGATAATTATCACCTGTTTAATTTTAATGCTAATGATTCCCACTCATCACTAAGATCTTATTCATGCCAATGCTTTCTGGCAGTCCACCTCCAAAACGAGATCAGAACGACATGCCACCTATTCTGGAACCTAAAGAAGTAAAGCAGAAACACTTATCCCTCATTAACTAAGTCTTTTAACTTAAAGTGGTCAAAATGAAAATATACCAATTACAATTATTATAAATTTATAAGTACAAAATTATGGCCACTAAACCAACCATAGAAAGCAACCACTCACAACATGGTAACGTGTCAGGGAATTTCTTAGCCAATTTAAGCTCTATTAAGTGTCCAACAGTTTGAACAGCAACCTTCATTCACAAAGACAGATTCAGTAACTTGCCTAGCCCACACATTGCAGTAACAGCAACACTCAACATCCACGTTGCACCCAGCTGGTGATCCCCAGGGGGGACTTT